TGGTATGAACTGGTAACCATTTCATCCGTAACCGATATTTACCGTTACTCACTGGTCTTTTGGGAAAATAATGGTTTTTCTTATTAATTTTGATCAAAGATTTTTGAGATTGAGAAATCGAATACGACCATCCAAATTGGTGAAAACCGGTGAATGTCATCATATAACAGTGAAATATTTACCGATGAAATGATTGCCAGTTCATACCGATTACTGATTTGGACCAGTGAACTGGTGATTGATCGCTACAGTTGCATCTCTAATATTAATTAGTTGACTGCTAATGAAGTGCATGAAGAACAAAGAATACGCTCCTAATTCCTAGTTGATCTGTCGAGCTCACTTTTTCGGGTTCTTTCAAATAGTTTACTCTTTATATATATATATAGTCGCGCTTGCACACATTAAATCTGCGTGTCAAATCTCATTGAATATCTGCTAGAATTCAACTATTGGATCTTTTGGCGATTTAATTATCCGGTCACAACCGGCAAAATTTTGACGGTTGAACGGATCTTGCAGGATCTAATCGGATTAATTCTATAGGATTGATTAGAAAGAAGAAAGCCTGCTTTTATGTAATAGAATCATGCGTGGATAACGTTTTCTAAATCTTGTTCCCTCAACTTTGCGCTAGGATGTGACAAATTTATCGTCTTTCTGTATGTCTATGCGCAAAATCGAAAAAAAGTCGGATGCTATACATATTAGAATAATCGAAATGACAAGTTGTTAAGAAGTATTAGAGTCAGCTAATATCAACTATTACTTTTGTGTGTGTTCTACTATATGTTGTCATTTTCTCGCTTTCCTGATGTCATATGTATTCTCCTATTACATCATATATTCTTGTATTCTGTTATCTGTTCTTTCTTGGATCTAACGTATTGTTCAAAATCTATATATAGTTTCTTATTTGTACAATAATATGTGTGTGTGTATATCCGATACAATTATCTTTGACTATTATCCAGTAGAAGCAATAAATGTCTTAGAATGGATCAACTTCACAATGTGCTATGGTATTATTTGATTAAAATAAACTCTATTGAAAATAAAATCTTGGGTGTGGGTGTGGGTGGGTGTGGGTGTGGGTAGTTATACAGGAGTTAACCACACCCACACCCTCATTATAGCGTCACTTCTGTTGCCAATGTTGCTCTACTTAGTGAGACAGAAGAATCTGTGTATGATGCTAAAAGTTGAGAACCTATATTATTTAGTTGGGTTCTGCTCGGTAATTGAAATATCTTGTAGTTTATACAAACTTCATAATATGATACTACTCATGGAGTGCACCAGTGAATTGAAATTTAGAAGAATACATCATGAGCATCATTGGCTACATACAATCGCTGCTATGAAGGAACTTATGATCGTGTATGAACTAAACTTGATAGTTTGGGCCACTCTTTAACATACAGCATTCATCTTCAAATGCATGCAGATAGACGAGCAAAGTAATCTAATTGGGTGCAAAAGTTAAACGGCGAACTTTCAAGTATTGACGAGATGGGAAATTAAAGAAGGCATACAAAACTGGACATTTTTGAAGAATGATTGTATGACAATGGGTAAATACTGATCACATCAAGTCATTGGCCTAAACTTTGATAAATTGACTACTATTATATCATTCAGACTTGACTATGCTAGAACTGGTGCCATCAATAAGAAAGAAGCAGCTTCTATATATACGTGTCGCTAAAAGTAGACTCACACAAACACATGCACACTTTGAATTTATGTTCGTTTGGGAAAAACAATTTCGACCTTTTACGTCTATAATAATTCCATGTAATTTTCATCCAGAAATTTCATCCATCATTATTAAATTATTCGAATACATTGGTCTGTATTTTCTGAGACGTTGAAGTAACTCTTGTATGGCAAATGATAAACACATAATTGTTTGCCAAGGAAAGAAAAACCATCAGACTAGAGAGAAAAGAAGCAAGCTAGCGAAGGTCAAATAAGTGCTATTATATTTTGCCTGCGCATAAGATAAAAAGGACGACGATTGGATCGATTTTTTTCTCCTTTCTGTGAAAAATATTAGTAAGGAAAAGATAGAATACATCGCCATAAGGCATAAAAATCTTTTGTACTCAAAGTATGTAATATTATTATTCGTTCATTTTTGTAAAGCAAAATTTGTCAAAAGAATAGTGTTGAACTTACAAGCTTTATAATACATTTATTCTTGGGATTGTGAATTAATCAAAAATCAATGGACACCGAATCAATGAAACCGTTGCAAGAGAGTGTCACTCAAAATAAAATAAACGTAAGACGTTGGATTATATATTTCATGTTAGTAGTATGGTTCATTGTGGAACATTTTACCTTAAAATCGATTATTCCTTTCTTGTTTGTTGATTTAGTTTCGTATCAATTTTGTCAGTGATGTCGTTAGTTGCCATAGTTATTGGTATGAATTTACAAAATCAATGTCCAATCTATTCATTTATTCCTATATGTTTAACTGTTTTGGGTTCGGCAAGTTTGGGTCTAGTTCTTTTTACTGCTTTGTTCCTATTGTAAGTATCACTTCATCTAACTAAAATTAATAATGCTTTTTCTTTTCTAAGTAAATATCGATTTTGGATGATCAATTGTATTATTATCGTAATGATGATGACATTGATTGTGTTTGTAATTGTTTTCAATGGTATCTTCCTAGCGATACGACGTAATATAAAAACATATATTCAATTTAAGAATCAAAGCAATAGACAAACATATTATCATCCAATTGCATATTATGGGGTTGAAACTTATACCATCACTATTCTCTTATTATCATGTACCTTCGGTTTGATACTACGCATCTGTACGCGATTAAAGTCATAACAATCATGCATTTACTATTGAATGTACACTTTGGGGCAAAGAAGATTGCCCCTCTGTTTTTTTTTCTAACTTCTACTATTTATTTTCCTTTCATTAATCAAATCAACGTATCATATAAGCGTTTTATCTTAAAATGATATATAGGGTGTGATTGCATGTATGTGTACGTGAAGGAAACCCATACTTACATTTTTATCTGAAAAAATGTTGTTTATGATCGTGCTTTTCTCGTTGTATTCGAAAGCAAATTGAGCCTTTTAGATCATGTTACCCGTCGAGCTATTGTACCATCAAGTTTTGGAAAAATCTTATCAGGAATTATATACTAGTATTTCTAATTTTGAATTAAATGATGCTGAATTTTCATATTTTACAGAGGTTATCTCACACAGGTTTCACGCTGTAGATGGTTGATTTGATCGAAAATTAATGGAAAAAAGAAAATCGGTTTGGTTCACCCAACTTTTTTCCAACATATTTACGCGTGACCATTGATGAGGTTGATGGTAGCACATCAGATTATGCTTATGTTGTTGAAGTTTGGCTTCCTAGTCATTATAGTCCTGTTCATAATTGTAGTAATCTCTATGAAATCAGTACAGTATCGAGCGATCGAATACTTGTCAAGCATTATCCAGTATTGGCTATTAATGTTCGATAGTATATACTAATCGAAATCACTTTGAAACAAAGTCTAATAATATGGATGTTATCCAATCCTAATTAGACTCATCAAGTAAGAAATCCTGATATTAATGAAGATTGTAATGTTACTATTCAATATTATCAACGCGGTGATGATGACGAACACTACAAATATTTTGGCCATTTGAGCGATGACTGACGATCGATTGATCAATTTGATCTCTAGTTGAATAGAAACTTTATCGACGTAAAGAAAGTAATGACAGATGAATCGAGCATGAGTTCAAAAAGGTTAAACACTATTAGTAACGGTTATCATCAAATCATTATTGAACTTCTGACAGTAATTTTCGAAAACACTTCTTATTTTTATTCTAACAATAACTTTTACAGCGTTCGAACTTTTATTTGAAAAGTGAGAAAAAAAATGTGTTTAATGCTCAATCTATTCACAAGAACATCTAATTATTAATTTTTCTGCTAAACATTTTTCGTTATCTACACTGTTATGTTTTGTATTACTTCTGCTTTTTAAGAGACTTAAGCTTTTTCTACTTTTTCATAGTAATAAGAGATGCAAAATAAGTCAAAATTGTTGAATTTTTAAATATTCTCTTTTTTGTTTTCTATTCTTCACCTGATTGAAAATTTCTGAATTGGATTATAGAATTTGAAATTCTCAGAATGAGTTGGGTGTGCATGTAAGCAAGAAAGACGGTCACATATATATTTATTCATACTCATGGTTACATACTTATGGAGTGGGGATTTGAGTGCGAATGTAGGTTCAGTGAAGACCAAATTTCTTCCGCATCCACACCTCACCGAAACCCATCAATACAATATTTTTCAAAAATAACAAGAACATTACGTACCCTAAATTTTTCTTAATAATTGTATTGTGTTTCAGCTCAGTTGGATGTACCGTACCTGAGAAATGTGGGCGATTCTAGAAATTTGTGCTGAAGAGTCTGCTTTTTAGAAAATTGCGAAAGAAGAGAAATTTTGCTATGCATATACAGGAATCGAATTATCTTTTCGGTTTTATTTTTGATTTAAGATTATTTCTGAGTTTTTGAGAGATCACTAGGAGACAGAAGGTATCCGAAAGCATATATGGGACAGAAAAAACGAAAAAAATCCAACAATAATGTTATTATTGAAATAGCTTAATACAAATGTGATTCTTTTGTGTATGAAAGTTGATAATCAACTGAATTTATTTGTTAAAGAGAAAATTTCATACAGCAAATTCATTAAGATTATTTTGACAGATATCCACTTATAAAATCAAATAAATCTTCTGGACTCTCAAAAACTTTAATTTCTTCAGGAAGATTCGGCGTTTTTTGCAATAATGCTATCGTACTCATAGTATAAACTGCAATGGGTCTTCTTCCGATAGCAAGACGTTGAAAAAGTCGCACAATATCAGTAAAAGATTTTGATTCGGATCCATAATAAGCTCGACATATAGTAACAAATATTTCGCGCTGTCGTATGTCATCTGCGTTTTCATTTAAAAATTTTTGAGCTTCTTTATAACTTAGTTGAAAATTAATTTTCACCGATGCATAATTTCTTTTAATTTCTTCGATTAGCATACGATCATTTTCAGGCGAATCAATCCATAGAAGCATTGCATTTTCTGAAAAAGTTTTTAATATATCATTATTTAAATAAATTTGGAAGAGACAATGATGATGAAAGCACTGGAAAAATATTTGGATTAAGAAAGGAGCGAAAACTATGGCTCAGTTGAATTCAGTGAACTACTTCTGGTGGCTATTGTAATGCATGTTGGATCTTTTAAGTCTACCCAGTAATGTCAAATTCATTATTCTCTTTAAAAACAAGTCATCGTTTAATATAATTGAAAATAACAATCGACCATATATTTTTTCTAATTACTTATATAGACAGTTGCACCCCTGTACCCATCGATTCCTGCTCAAATATTGTTAGCCTCAGTAGATATCTCTCACTGACGCTAAGCCATTGTGTTGTTAGTTATATGGTATTGCGTCATTTGTTCGATGACCAATACAACTTAGACTCATGTGATTGACTATCACATATACGTATATATTGTTTTGTTTTTCCACTCTCGTTTAGTGATTTTGTTCAGGGGTGTGGGGTGTGGGGTGTGGGGTGTGGGGTGTGGGGTGTGGGGTGTGGGTGTGGGTGGGTGTGGGTGTGGATGTTGGTGTGGTTGTGGGGTGTGGGTGTGGGTGTGGGTATGGGTGTGGGGTGTGGGTGTGGGTGTGGGTGTGGGTGTTAATCTTCTTATTGTTCATACCTATATAAACACACATCCACTCCCACACCCACCCACACCCGCACCCACACTCTATCATTCATACAAGCTTCCATTAATTCTAGTAATGTATCTGTTATTGTTTCAAGTGATGTCAAACTCATTCGTTCAGGTTGTTCAATTGTTAGTGAATATGTATTTGTTGTTATTGTCATTGAACGTTCTCTTGACATAGGTACTTGTTGTTTATCTTGTGATAAGATTTGACTTGAATGCTGTTGTTGTCTTATAATACCTTCGACATATTTCAAACAAAAAATAAAATCTATAATAAGAAAAAAAAGAAGCTTTTATGAGTTTTCCAACAAAAAAAAAACAAAAAAAATCAAAAAAAACAATAACACAAACAATGAACAAAAAATAAAAAAGTTTAAATAACTTATTGTTCTTGTGTTGTTGTTTGTTGTTGAGGGCCGGCCACTGCAAAGATAAATAAGAACGATATTTTCTTTTTGAAACCTGATCCCCTTAACTTACTTATTATTATCGGAGAATCATTTTTTTTCCTCGCCAAATATTCCCGATGGCAATGCCAGCGCCTATGGCTGTCAATCCCAATGCTACAGCATAACCGCCATACTTGAAGTTATTACTGCCGTCTTTAATGGCACTTGAAAATTCTTTTGAACCACCACAGATGGCACTCGAAACTTGTTTCGAGCTTTGGACTAGATCTTTGGTGTCGACATATCAACCCGGAGCGGTTTTGAAGGGTAGGAGTTCGGTCAAAAAA